CCTGCCTAGGACTGTGTGTGTGCTTTGTTATCATTAAATCTCCATCATCACCATAGTCTCTCCTCACCACCAACAACCACACCGCGTGACACTTCCTCCATCATCATCATACTTAACTTAAAAACTTACTTAAACTTAATCCTAATGCATGGATGGATTTTGGGGGATTTTAAAGCATCTTTTCAAGGGTGTGATCTGAAAACTCCTTAGGGTGAGAGACTGAAACTTTGACCATTATAAACTGAATTTGACTGATTCACATCGACTTGGACTGATTATATATATGTATATTGTCCCCTATGAATCGGATCTTTCTGCTTTTTGAGATGACGTTTTTTGTGAATTGGTTTTGTGTAAATCAACTGAACTGCTTTTTGAATCGAATCACAGGAATAAAAGAACGACTCAGATGTAGCTGCGCCTCTGAACAATACAAACATCATGAACTGATTGAAGCCTCCCTCTGCTTCACTTCCGCTGTCAGATCCTCACAGATGTCAAAGCTCGCGCGCGCGCCCAGGTGTCGCCCTCCGTCGCGGGACGCATCCGCAGCTGCGTGCGGAGCGGCTGACGTCAGGAGCGGAGCGGCACGAGAGGAGTTGAAATAGGGCAGAGCAGAAAGCGGAGCTGCGAGAGGAAACCAGCCGCGCAGAGCCGCAGGATGGACAGCCGCCGCCGCCGCCGCTGCTGAGGGTCGGGGACGCGCCGCCCGCCGCTGAAACAGCCGCGTCTGAGAGCCGCCAGCGCGAAATCATTCCGAGCCACACACGAACCCAGTGGGACTACAGGCGGAACAGTTCGGACTCACCGCTGCGTGGAATCTGTTTGTTTCTTTCTGCGCTTTTCCTCGGAGGATCTCAGGTAAGGAGGCAGATGGCTTAACATGCAGCAGCTACAAGTTTGGTGGATTTGATTTGATTTTGAGTGAGCGGAGGCTGTGTGTGTGTTTTTTTTTCTTTCTTACAATTTGCAATAGTTTTATTTGAAAATAAATCCGTCAGAAATTCCAGCTGGGTTGAAGAGGAGCCTTACGGCGCAGGGCGATGGCAGTGACCGGGTCCAACTACTGCTGCAAAACAGCTGCTGTAAATCATTTAGCGGATGGAAAACAACATGAAGAGCTCCAGGGGTTGAGTGATGAGGCGCGTATGTCTGGCTGGACACTCCGGCATGGATTCCCGATCCCTCTCAGTTCATCAGGCTGGATGTTGACAAGAATTCACCTTTAACTGGAGACATGCAGAAAAAACTCATAGGAGTGGAAAAGGAGAAAATCCTTAACAACATCGACTTAAATCAGTTGCTTTTGCCAAGAAACCCCAGAGAGAGTGAGGAGAGGCCGGCCGGTGGAGCAGGGCTGCCGCTGAAAACCTGCCCGTCTCCCCGGATCCTCCGCTCCGCGTCAGGCTGCCTGAATATGAATCCATGCACAGAAAAGGCATTTAATGAAAACCTTCAGCTTATAAACAACACGTGCAGCTGCGGGCATCTGCGCGTGCATGGACAGCAAAAAGCACGTGCAGGCGTCAGGATCGATATGTGACCCTGGTTTCCGGTTTGGTGCAGTTCTGACTCCAGTTTCACTCTCACCTGGAGACGTTGCCTGGTTCAGCCTGTGTGCTGGAGAAGCTGCTGACTCAGTGGAGAGGCCACGAAGAAGAAACGCAGCGGCATCAAAGCTGCAGGAGAAGTGGAGATGAAGCCACTTCTAATCAGCAGTGATTAAACAAGCCGAGCCCCGGGTCGCCTTACAAATAATGATGTCAACCAGAACAGAGTCAGCAGGGCGGCTGCAGCTCGCAGCCTGCTGCCGTCCGGAGAGTCATTACCGAGGCCGGCAGATTACGGCTGGTTGTTGCTTCACAGACGGGTTTAATAGTGGGATCACACACACACACACACACACACGCACCCAAACAAATCCTTACCGTAACATTTCCAGTCATTAGAGCTGAATTAGGCTTCTGGAGCTGCGCTGATGACCAATTAAAGCAGAAGCGGCTTAAACGCGGCTGCGTCTGACAGTAACTTCTGTTTCACTTCATCCATGACGCCTTCCTGCTGCAGCGTGTGAGAGAAAGGCTTTCTACAGGTTTTCATGCTCTGCTCCTCTTAGTCTGGCAGGCTGTTTATCCAGGTCTCCAGCCTGCATTTAAATTCATCATCATAAGCATGTAATTGACCTTTTGAGCGATGCTGACAGAATAAATGCTGCAGTGAGTTTTCCACTCCGACAAACTGTTGTTTTGTTGTCCTTAATGTGCGATTTGATTTCAGATTGCTGTGATTGGATGATGCAGAAAAACTTAGGGATTAGCCTCACATGCAGCATCAGAGTAATATAATATACCAGTGACTGGACTCAGCAGCTGCGTGGTTTTCGTTTCTCCATCAGATTTGCTTTGTTTGTTCCAACACTGAACACAAGGGCTTATGTTCATACCTTTAATTTTAGTCAGTTTAATTAAATAAATGTCACTTTGTTTTTATATGAAATGTCATCAGAGCAAACCATTGTTGCAGCAAAGAAAATGATTTCATTGATCAGCCAAGTTTATTTGTGCAGCACATTTCAGCAACAAGGCAGTTCAAAAAGCTCCACATCATAAAAACACAAAAATCATAAAACAACACAGTTAATTAATGTTTTGTCGAGTCTCATCATCAAACATGTTGATCGATGTTCCATCAGGAATAAAGCAGCTCCAACCAGCCGGGCGTTCAGCTCAGCGTTTCGGCTGTTTTTCAGTTTTCTGGACGTTTGTTCCAGGTTTGTGGTCCATAGAAGCTGAATGCTGCTTGGTTCTGGTTCTGGAGTGTAAATATAAAAAATTCCACAAAATGTAACAAGAACAGCTTCACATTGGTTTGCAGTTTAACAAAAAGTTAAATAAACATTTCTTTTTGCCTCCATGTGACGTGGCTGGTTTTGTTTTTCAAACGAGCTCGGCTGGTTTTGGACGGATTGTTGTGACTTTTCAGAGGAGATCCGGTCGGTTTGTTTCCAACCTCACAAGTTAAACACATCCAACACGTCTGTCCGTCTTTTTATTTACTATTTATATGATGTAGTAATAGGTCCAGACTCTCCTCACAGTGAGAGTTTTGGTTTTTATTTTTATTTCTGTCAGTTGTAGCTGAGTAGAAAATGCTAACTGGCTCCACATGATGCTCGCAGCGTTTTGGTTTCTAATGAAGTAACAGTTGTTCTTCAGCAGAAGTGGCAGCTGAAGCCGCCGTCGTCTCATAAGAAAGGTGATTTATTTCTCCCTGCCCAACATGGCGGTCCCCTCAGGTGAAGCGGTTCGTACACCTGGTGACTCGGCTCCGTCGAGCTGAGCTCAAAAACAAAAGCAAAGATTCATGAGGTGTGAGCTGCCAGCCGCTCTGCGGTGCAGGCCGCTGATCAGCTTTCATTTGAAGTGATGAAATGTTTCCTTCTGGGTTTAAAACCGATGGAAATCGCTCGGTAAGAACGACGCTATCGCTGCACCGTCCTGCTCGTTTCCGGGCTGGTTGGATCTCCTCACAGGTCGCAGACATCACCGGTCACTTGAAATTCTGATCAGTGATGTTGAACTTCTAGAAATGACCTTTACTGCTGGATCCCACATGAGCTCAGAGCGGCAGCGCTGCCCAAACAGAGCCGCCGCCTGGAAAGAGTCAGCAGAGAGTGAGAAACGTGGAGAGGGGTTAGCGAAAGGTCAGTTGCCATCTCTGTGTTCAGCATCCACTGTAGTCAGCCATCTGTCAGCCTCTTTTATGCCCCGTCCCTCTGCCCTCACGGAGAAAACCCCAAACTGAGGCTCTTCCTGCTTCACAGGAGCGACCAGCCTCTGGGTCGTCTCACCAGCTCACATCGTTAGAGTCCCGACCAGGAGGCAAAGGCAGCACGACCTTAACGTTTTTATCAAAGTAAAAGCGGCCAACAAAAGACTGGAGTAAAATATATCGGGCAAAAAGTGTCAAATTAAACATTTGATATTTAAACTTACATCATCAGATGAACCAAAATATAAACCCAAGTGGAAATTTCTGCAATTTTTGGACAAAAAAAGTAACAAAATGAAGTAAAATCAGTTTCTTTCAATAAAAAAACTTCAGAAACTTTAACAGAAACTTCAGGTTTTGGTGAAAACATGTTTGATTTTCATTCAGTGGGAAGAAAACCCAGAAATTTTACTCAAGAGAAAAAATATTTTATAAAAAACTACTCAAGTAAAAGTAAAAAGTACATCGTAGTACTCCTGAAAGTACATTTTTACCTAAAAAGCAACTCAAGTAAATGCAACTAGATACTCATTTTTTAACTCGCTAAGCTCAGTTTATAAAGATCTTCATGGTTTGTGTCTGTGTTGACCTGCAGAGGTCAAACCCTGACCTTTTGACCTGCAGAGGTCAAACCCTGACTCATCTGAACTGGAGTTTTAGAAAGGAAGCAAACAGGATATTTCTCTGAAATATTAATTTTGGGTTTTTTATCTGACGTGAAGTTTTACTTTTTTGTCACATCGTCGCTCCTGTTCTTGATCCTGGTTCTGTGCTGCTGATTCTGGTTCTGTGCTGCTGATCCTGGTTCTGTGCTGCTGATCTTGTAAACATTAATGATGGAAAACACAGCTGGATAATTAAGTATGCGTTAACACTGCATGCTGTTCAAAATGTCCGGTTTTTAAACTGAACAGAAGGAAGAAAATCTGCTTGTTCTGCTTTTTTATTTTCAGATATGAGAAGATGAGGAGGTTTTGATGGATTTGTAGATTTATCTGGGCTGCGTTTGTGTTTCTTCAGCTTGAACCTGATGTGTTTGATGGATGCCGCTGCAGGAGGGGGGGTAGAGCGGCTGTATGTTTTCTATTCACCCTTACAGATGTTTTCACATCCACCTGAATAAGATGTAGTTGCGCCACTGGATAAGTGGGTTGAAACCGGGTCACTGATGATGACACTGATGGAGAGGAAGAACTCCAGGATTGTTCATGATTAGAAAAAGCCAGGTGTTTCTCTCTCTACCTGCTGAGAGCTTTAATGTTCACGAACGTTTTGATTCTTTTGAACGGCGTTGAGCCGTGAACGAGTCTCATGGTGAGAACTGTTCTGTTATTTACGACTTTGCTTTCTTATGATGCTCTGCTCACAGCTAATATTGTTTTTAATGAATTAAAATGATTTAATCAGTGAATAAATACAACAGATAAATACAAGAGATGGAACAGGATGGATCATTTTATATTTATTGGTGCAGAAGAAAATTTTTGTTTCTGCCAAATCAAATCAAATCGTTTTTTTTATTTTATTGTGCTTTTAAATTACAATTATCCTAAAATGTTATTAATGCACAAACACTTGGTAGTAAAATAACTTATTCTTATTTTCATTTATTTGACGTCATTAGAAACCTTAAAATCCAAACTTTCAGAATCTGTAAATAACTCAAAACGCCTCAAGTCGGTTCGTTCATGACAAGTCATGAACGAACCGTTTGACCAGGTTAGAGTCCTGGTCAAACGGCGTTTTGACTAAAGGTCGAAGGGTTGGAGGCCCAGTTGACGGCGTCTCAACTAAAGTTCTACAGCTCTTTATTTCTCTTTCTCACTGTTTTTATTTAATTATGTAAAGCACTTTGAAATGCCTTGCTGCTGAAATGTGCTATACAAATAAAATTTGATTGATTGCTTGATAGAATAAGTGAGTTACTGATATTTTAATGTCAGGTTGTATATGTTAAGATGTTAAACACATTTTAAAGGTGTTTGTTAAATTGGTTCAGTGATTCTCAGCCTGAAAAGAAAGAATATTCTTCACTTTATTGGAGTTATTGTTCATGGAAATGTGCATTCAGCAGGAAAACGCCCAGCTTG